CAGACAAGTTCAGGAGCCATTACGTGGGCTGGGTTGGAGGGATAATTAATTTTTGGTACTGGGTTGTTCACTTGCATACATTCACTGCATGCAAACCCCTACAATGTATCATGACTAGAGTGTCTACGTGTACAATCATGCTGCTTGTGGTGGGCGCATGACGAATTTGAGTTGTCTATTTGCTTTATTGTGTCACTCTCTACTCTGAGTAGTACTTGGTTGTGACCAAGACTAGTACATACTATAGAGAGTGTATAACTCCCATCCTGAGCTGCCATGGGTTAACCCAGAGCGGATTTTTTTATTGCGTCATTCATTGGCAGCGGTAAGATGAAGGGCGTATGCTTTCCCGCACTTGTTTTGTAGATACGTTGAGAGTTCACCAGGTTCAAGACATATCGATCTTTTGATCTAAAAAATAAAGTATTTGTGCATTTATCTGTGGCTACGCATGATGGCATCAGTAAGCGACACTGCCGCCAAAGACTGATGTCATAACAATTTAGCCGCTGCACACTCTTGGTTATGTACTCTTGGTATGACGTAATGCCACATAGCCTGATTAACTTTTTTTCTTTTTTCTTTTCTCATGGCAGGTCAGAGTATTAATTCATAATAATTATTTTGAGACTCATTTACTATTCCTCCTACTCGGTCTGTATTGGTATGAGCCTACAGATTACTGCAGGGCTCGTCAAATCTGCAAGCATAGCGACTCGGTCACCACGTCTACAAAGTACGTACTTGAAAGTAGCTAAGAGGTTTATTGGCACAAAAGAGAAACCATAGTTTAAAGAGTACATAACACCAGTTTTTTACTCTTGGTGGTAGTAAGAGCGAACGACAACCGAAATTCAGCAATAAATGGAGTGCTTTCTTGACGTGTAAGCACATATGCTTGACATGACAAGTAATCTGTCGAACTCCTTACCCCGCCACCGCATGATATCAAGAGTACAATGATCGTGATTGTACTCTTGGGAATACGAATGGGCAGGCCCACTTTTTCCTACCTGCATACACGAGGCGCACACCATAAACGTCACTAGTCACACCATACCCGCCACGTGAACTTAGACCATTTAATGAGACACTGTACTTTACGAGACAAGAACCAAATACAAGCCTATCGGCAAATGCGCCTACAAAAATTATACATCAAATTAAAACATCAGAGTGTTCAAAAACAACAATAAAGAATATAAATCAAATAATGAAAAAAGGAAGGAAAAATACGCAACTCGAGCGTCCTGAGCACTTTGATCCACTGATCGACGAACATGTTTGCTGACATAGGTTTGGGGAAGGCATCCGACAAAAGAAAACTCTGACCGGAAACAGGCCATCCTACTGGAAAAAGAGCCCATTCACTTCCGCTTGTCTGACAGGACGTCGAAAACTCATGTCAGGAACGAGGGCTGCATGCCTATTTGTCTTCGCACCATGCATTCTCCTTGCGGATCTCCTCCTCTTCTTCGGGAGAGAAGTCGTTCACGATGTTGAATGTCTTCCGGATCTCCTCGGTAGTCTTGCCTTTGATAAAATTAGCGACAGTCTTGCAAGCGGCAACCAAAAGACTCTAAAGTGGACAGAAAGAGAGAGTGACAGGGAGTGAGAGAGAGAGGGAGAGAGAGAGAGAGAAAGAGAGAGATAGAGAGATAAAGAGAGAGAGAGAGCGGGAGAGAGAGACAGAGAGAGAAAGAGAGAGAGAGAGAGAGAGAGGGATAGAGAGATAGAGACAGAGAGAGATAGAGAGAGAGAGAGAAAGAGGGGGGAGAGAGAGAGGGAGAGAGAGTGCGAGAGATAGAGACCAAAAGAAAGGGGAAAGAGAGAGAGAAAGAGATTTAGTGAGAGAGAGACGCAAGAGAGATGGTTCGTGAGAGATAAACAGATAGAGAGACGGCGCTGAAACGGAGACGGATCAAGAGAGATTGAAAAGAAAGAAATACGGTTCAAGGAAGATAATGAGATTGATAGATGGAGAGATGAAACGTAGAAGGATATAGAGAAAGGAAGACAAGAGAGAATGAGAGACAGAGGGAAAGAGCATACCCTATCACAACTCTGATTTGAAATTTTTACATCAAATGCATATCCATGGCAACAACACGCTCCTGGCTGCAGACAGAACTCAGCAACACAATGGGCGCTTCTGATTACACGTTTACGCAGTTTTGGAACTGGTTTTTTAAAATTCTGGAATGACCAGAATGAGCGGATTTCGGCCTTGTAAACGCATGACTGGAATTCACACCGCATTTTATTCATGTTTTATGTCATATCACAAACAAAATTGATGATAATCGTAAAAAGATCACATACACCCTCGCGCGCACGTTGACCCAGCATCGCGCACACGCCGGCCAGGGAAGCTCTTCGCGCGCTTGAGTCATGACCAGACCGGTGATACACCGACTGTGCAATTTTGGCGCCAGAATTTGATAAATTCCGCCCTCTGTTTACAATTGACGGATATGACGGAATTGGATAAAATCAGTTCTAACGACTGTACTTTTCATTTTTTGTGTAATCGAACTTTGCATCAACAATAACTAATTCTAGAATTGACCGATATGCGTATAATCGAAAGCACCCACTACATTGTATGAAAGTACTCGTGTGGACAAGAATCACGATTCAGCATAGACTGAACTGCGCATAGCATCTAAAAATTGTCTCACCTTTATGTCCAAGTAATTCGCCGCTAGGATGAGCTCAAAGAGTATTCCTTGGTCTACCTTGAAAAAATCTTTATCCCAGCTATCAAGTTTATCCGTTCCTGGTTCACTCGCCTCTAGGGTATTTTCCTCTTCCACTGGATTGTCATTCTGGTGCTGCGTGCACCAAGCTATCACCTTTCTCAAAGTCGCGCCATTTACATTCGGCAACGGCACAGGATCATCGTCATCGGCGATATCGCCCGTGTCCTCTAACATGACCTTGAGTACTTTGGATTGGCAGGCAACTTTGACCTCCACGTCGAACACCTCGGCGTCGTTACTCTCCAGCTTTAGTATAGCGGCCATCTCCAAATAATATCTGTAATCCTAACACAATCTCTTAGACACTGGAACGGATCAAAACTGTTCGGCAAAACAAATAGGTCTGACTTCGCACGGAAAGGGTAAAACGCAAATGTGCAACTCTGAGCTGTCACGGACATGAAACAAGTGAATGCTGTCTAAAACTCTCTGGCCATTATATATCAGCAGGGATTGGTTCGAGATCGGGCCGGCTGTATGGCTAAAAAACACGTAGGCTGCGATAGCTTCAGCGAGCCCGCGGCTCCCAGTCTAGGAATCGAGCACAGGGCACAGTGCTGGCCAAAGAAATGCAACGTCATGAGTATAATAGTGCCGGGCGCTACACAGACTTAGCACTACACATACTGATCTGTGCCCTCGAACCCGGTGTTTTTTATTCATATACATGTAGTTGGATTTCTTTTGCTAGCACTGTACATGACTGTAGTACAAAACCTCTCCGCCGCTCTGCCTCGTGTATGCAGGTGGGAAGAAGTGGGCCTGCACATATTCTCAAGAGTGCAGTCGTTATCATTGTACTCTTTATATTCTTGATGACGTGCGCGGGCTCTCAGCGTACGAAACCAGCACACTGTACAGTAGGGTGGTGACGTCATCTTGAGTACGTCCGTCAAATATTTAATTGATTGATTGATTTTATTTGGATTCGCAAGACCAAACGAGCAGGAGTGCTCAATAACGGGGTAGCGAATGGTTGAGTAAGTCAAATCTACCACTACGCACTACAATGTACAATGTACAGTGCGGGCCAAAGAAATCCAACGTCATGAGTATAATACTATTAATAGTGCCAGGCGCCGGGCGCTGCACACACTCAGCACTACACATACTTGTCGGTTATCTCGAAAGCGGCGGATTTTTCATGTTGTTAGATTTCTTTAGCTAGCACTGTACAATGCAGTACAAAACCTATCCGCATCGTGTATGCAGGTATGAAGAAGTCTGCACAGACATGTATTCCCAAGAGTACATTCATGATCATGGTACTCTTGATATTTTTGTATAAAATGCGATAAGGATAAGGAGTTCGTCAAATAATTACCTGTTTTTGTGTATAATCTTACACTTCATGAAAGCACTCTATTTTTTGTCTTTCGCTTTTATAAAAGGTAAAAAGGACCAAGAAACTACAAGTCACAATATAATATCCACTAACACCACCAGTTACTAAACAATCAGCTCCGTCGGTCAGTGTCGTGCAACGTTATCACACGAGCGGATTGTTCAGTAACTGGCGGTGATAGTGGACACTATTACTTGTAGATTCTTGGTCCTTTTTACTTTTTATAACTAATCAGTAATCCTTGGCCCTCCATCCGAGTTCAGTCTTTCGCTTTGGTTCTCTTATTACTATGGTTTCTCGTCTGTGCTAATACACCTCTTAGCTACTTAAGTACGTACTTTGTATACGTGGTGAACCAGTCGCTATGCCCGCAGATTTGATGAACCCTGCAGTGATCTGTACGCTGGTACCCACGGTTACACTCAGTGGGAGGACTAGGAGAGGAGTCGTTGTTGCATTACGTCATACCAAACTACTACTGAGAGTATAGTTTGAAACCATAAAGAAAAGCTCCACCCACACTCGCCATATGCCACCACCGGCGCCTTCTAAGCGTAGGTCAATGGTGCATGACACGTAGACAGCCTAGTCACTCTAGTACATTGTAGTGGTTTGCATGCAGTGAACGCATGCACGTAATCAACCCAGTACAAAATAATTATCCCTCCAACCCAGCCTACGTAATGGTTCTTAGATTGTACTTGCATTGATGCCAATCTCCACCGAACACCCAGCGTTGAGGTATACGTAGCCATTGCTGCTAGCAAGGAGGGAAATATCAGATCTATAGTGTATGTTTCGCCAAACAGAGTTGTTCAATTCTAGTGTGCAAGAGAAGGTTGCTTGTTTTGAAGTCTGATCAACGTGGTTCGATCTTCGGAAATTGTTTGAAAATGGCAAGTCCCATAGGTTTGGAGTGTACTGAGGGCTGGGTGTTTGCCGTTGGAGTTAAAGTTGCCCACCAGTCTGAAACAATCAAGACCAAGTTAGAGGAACGTGTCCAATCCGACGATGGCGACACGATTGTGCCTTTGCCCTATGTGAACGCCAGAACTTTGAGAAAGATCATTACTTGGTGCGAGCAGCACCAGAACGACACGCCAGTGAAAGAGGATGATGCCATGGATACCAAAGAAAGAAGTACTGACAAAATGGATGCCTGTGGCATGGAGGATTTGAGAGTTGACCTAAAAACCCTAGTTGAGCTCATCCTAGCTGCCAAGTACTTACAGATAACGGTGAGACTAATAATTGATGTATTGGTTTGAGTTGTGGGATCTTTCTCTCCTTGTGTCCATCACGATATTATTCCCATTTAGGTTCTCTCTATCTGTGTGTGTGTGTACGTGTGTCTCTCACTCTCTCACTTATCTCTCTCTCACTCTATCTCTCACTCTCTCTCTTCTCTCTCTCTCTCTCTCTCTATCTATCTATCTCTCTCTCTCTCTCTCTATCTCTCTCTATCTCTCTCTCTCCCTCTCTCTCTCTCTCTCTCTTCTCTCTCTTTCTCTCTCTCTCTCTCTCTTTCTATCTCACTCTCTCTCTCTCTCACTTTCTCTCTTCTCTCTCTCTGTCTCTCTCTCCTCTCTCTCTCTCTCTCGTCTCTCTTTCTCTCTCTCCGCCTCTCTCTGTATCTCTCTTCCGTCTCTCTCTCTTTCTGTCTCTCTCTGTCTGTCTCTCTCTATCTATTTATCTCTCCTTTTCTCTCTCTCTCTCTCTCTTTATAATAATATATACCCAATCACCAATGCTATACCAAATGTTATGTGGAAGAGGTTGGTGCGACTTTGGCGGTACTTGGGGATTGCGTGTTGCTCCCTGCATGGGAGCTCGCTCCTTGTTCAGCACCTCCATAAGCGATACTGGCTCACTCTGCTATCTGTAGTTCCCAAGGTGTTTGTTGCGTTGGAAACGGAGCGTCTCTGTAAGTTTGTATAACGCGTTGCTCTAGAGCCATAGTGCTCTAATGATGTAAGATAGCGAGAGATGCGTAATGCAGCAGCCTCCTCTTTGGCATTTGTGCACATCTATCTGTTTGTCTCCCGGTCCCTTTCTCTCTCTCTTTCTCTCCCTCTCTCTTCTCTCTTTCTCTCTCTCTTTCATTTTCCCTCTCTCTCTCTCTCTCTCTCTCTCTCTCTCTCTCTCTCTCTCTCTCTCTCTCTCTCTCTCTCTCTCTCTCTCTCTCTCTCTCTCTCTCTCTCTCTCTCTCTCTCTCTCTCTCTCTGTATGTCTCTCTGTATCTCTGTATCTCTCTTTCTTCTAATGCAGGGTCTTCTGCATGTCACCTGCAAGAAATTCCTCAACATGACTGTTGAAGAGTTAGCGAATGTTAATTCCATTGTGCTTGATGTTACTGCGAAGCAGGATGCGTACACCCGCGACTTCAACAAATTGTTTATGGTCGACCTCATCTACACTCCACGAGGGTAAGCAAGCATTCTACCAAGTAAACACATTGGCCTGCCCTGAGACAGCATCCCAGTCACTTTGATGAGTCTCAACATTGTATCCGCGCTCCCACCATCCATGTCTGACACATACTTGAAACACAATACATGATGAATTGCTACTGTTATGTGAACTCTCAATACACCCGTATGTGGTATTACCTTCCACATAGTCATTAGTCTAGCATGATGTCATAATATTTATCTCAGTTCAGTGTTTTCCGAAGACTAAAAAAATGTCTGCGCATCTTCTTTTTCTTCCTTGGGGTGTAGATACAAATAAATGTCGTGCCTGTTTTCATGATGCCAAGTTGCCACTTGGGATTGTACACCCGGTTTTTTCCCTTATTCATGCATCCGTCGGCGCGAGGGTTTTTTTCTCGGCTAGCTTGGTCCGGATAAATTAATCTGACGGTCCCAAGTGGTGTTTGTCTTGGCCTATCAGTAGCTCTCAATTGTATATTTCATCTGATTCAAAGAGAAAGGCATAGCATACCCAAGGTTCATTTCTCACCTGTATAGTTGTATTACCAGTGCAATATACTTTTCCAATGTTTGTGCTATTGTCGTTACTATTCCTGTATCCTCGTTTTCGTCATTCCAAGGTCGTAAGTTCTTTTTTCATTGTTCGCTTTATTCACGAATTCTATTGATAATTGTCACCAGAAATCTTTCTGGAATCCTTCAATTGTTGCCCTGATTGTGATACGAGTACAGTCAACTTCGCTAATAACGACTGCGGATATAACGACAATTCGCGAATAACGACAGAATTTCCATGCCCAGATCAAAGTCCCATCTTACTGTAATACTCAGTACATGGAATGAGACTCCGGGTATCAGGACACTTGGTGAATTAAGGACACTTTTCTGATGCCCCGCACGGTTGACTGTACACTACCGATACATGGATATGTTCGACCCACTCGTCTCTCTCTCGTCCGTCTCGACATGCGTAACTACCAGTTTGAGACAGGACTACCTGTCAATAGCCGGGAAAGTTGCCGTAGAGCTTTCCCCGCCTGTGCTGTCCCTGTATGGAATGCCATGCCACCCGCCGTCCTCGGCCAGCCACCTGACCGGAAACGGCTACAAAGTTTCAAAGTGTCTGTCTTCCGGCACCTCCGTGCCCAGCAATGGCACTGGGCCACTGACACTTTGTAAGATGTATGCACATCTGCCCACGCACTGCTGCATATTGCCATATGCCTCGTGCCCTGCTTACTCTTTTCTCTGGATCTGAATGTACACCCCTTACGCATTATATAATTATACTTTATTTAGTTCTCTCCCCCTCTCTTCCCCCACCCTCCCCGCTCTCTCTCTCTCTCTCATTTTTTTATTATACTTTATTTAGTTCTCTTATTTAGTTCTCTTGCTCCCCAACCCTCCCCTCTCTCTCTATTTATCTCACTCTCTCTCTCTCTAACTCTCTCTCTCTCTCCTCTCTCTCTCTCCTCTCTCTCTCTCCTCTCTCTCTCCTGTCTCTCTCCTGTCTCTCTCTCTCTCTTTCTATCTCTCTCTATCTCTCTTTCTCTCTCTATCTCTATCTCTATCTCTATCTCTCTTTCTCTGTCTATGTCTCTCTCTCTCCCTCTCTTTCTCTCTCTGCTATTGGCGCGCCTGGTTGTGATAAAACCGAGACACAAGGTCGGCAGAGCATCCCAGACCACGCCACCACTCCCCTTATTCATGAATCACACATGACGGGTTTACGTGGCTCTAGTAAAAAAATATGCACAAGGACATCCGGCGTACTGTGCAGTGCATACTGCAGCCCCTCGAAAATAGGATTATGGTCTCGACGCCTCCTGTTCAAATACCCAATGTTCATTTACCACAATATTTTATATCGCTTCAACTATGCAGTTTAAAACATGTCAAGGCGACCACTCGGACAGGGCGACCACCTGTCCCAGAAGACCACTGCAGCCAGGACCAATGGTTACTATATGTACATGACTATTGTATGTCCAATCACATGACCCTGAACCAGCAGACCACCTGGTAACAGAGACCACGTTGTTTTAGCGCGCACGTATACAGTCTGTATCGGCTATAGATTGACCGGATATAAGATTATATCGGCTACAGTGATATTGGTACGAAATATCGAAATCAAAACGTATTTTATCCAGTATAAAAAAATATCCACATAACCAATATTATCGGATGTAATGATATAATAGGATACTCTAATTGCAGAAATTTTCGGTGCTCAATATTGTCGGTATGAGGGCAAAAGGCCAGGTTAGGTGAACAGAAATTTTAGGTTCAGAGAAGCAGTTCCCTATGTGTTTATGTGTGTTAGTGCTTGTTCGGTGTATTGAAATTTTAGGTATGAAACAGATGCACCGAAAGTACCGAAAATACAAGTACACCGAAAATTTGTGAAATTACAGTATTATGATGGCAACAAAGAATCAAAACATACATAACACACTATATTATTATTATCGGCTATTGTGAGAACTTTAGAATACATGTAACAATAATATCAAATGCCCTATTTTTTACTTTCTTCACGTTGCTTATTTTTATAGTGATATACGTAAAATTGTACATAACCTATTTTTCATGGAAATGTGGGCACTATCAATTTTCCAGCATGCTCATTTGTCAAAACGCCATGCTGAAGGTATTTCCTTGCCTTTCATGTGTCGATCGAAAAAGAAAAAGGAAAATCGATCGTATCGCATATTATACATGTAGTTATGCATCGGTTATAGTGATAAAATCACGGAAATCAAAAGGGTACGCTATAGCCGATACAGACTGTACATGCAAATGAAGGCACACAACGACCAACTATGGACCATGACGTATGTTTGTCACACATAATATTGCAATACCAAAGAGAAACATAAACAAGATCACTTACTTCGTTCTGCTCCAAATGTGTCCTCCCCAGCCAGGCCGTCTCCTGCATTTCCCTAGGCGGAATGAAGCCTACGAAATGGTTTCTCTAGATTAGGAGAAGATGCTTGATATTCGCCATCTCTCCTGAGAAATGTTCAGCAAAAATTTCAAAACACACCATTGCGACATTATTTCGTTCGCTAATCTCCGCTACCGTCGTCTCCCGTGGCTAGCACTTGGCGGATTATGCCGGCATAATATTTGGCATAATCTTGGGATTTCGTCAAAACATTATGCTCCGGCATACTATACGGATTCCAACGTGTAAGGTCGGCATAATCTTTCGGTTTAGACGAACATTATGCTCAGGGTATGGCCGTGTGTGTATGCGTGGTTTCTCAATCCCCTACATGTATGTACAGCGTGAATACATGTAGTGGAACCGAGCATAATTCAGCATAATTCAGCATAATTCAGCAAAATTCAGCATATTTGTTGGCATAATTGTGGCAAAATCAAAAGCATAATTTGACGATTGGCCGGGCATAGTCCGCCAATGGCTACCCGTGGCTTCAGAAGACGTTACGAGAGATAGGAGAGAGTACAGCAGGCAGCGCATCCATCTTCAGGAAGTAGAAAGAGCAAACGGCATGGTCCTTGGTTGAAGTAAATGATGAACGTTTGATTTGTCCCAACCAAGATTTTATCACTTGGTTCGTCACGATTTTCGCTTGCCAGCTAACGTCTCCGCACTCCAGCTTTCCCTTGGTGGTGTCACGTCCCAGTACACAAAGGAGAGGACTGCTAATACTAGTACTAATAAACAGTTCACGACGCTAACAGCGTTGAATACATCACTTATTTCACTTCGTGAATACAATAACACTGAACTGAAAATGACACAATTCTGCAGTGATCGACCTTCTCTCTCACGGAGCTAAGCAGAATGTGCGTCATCACCTGTAGTCGCCATGGAAACGCAATCAGAAAATCGGCGATATGGCAAGTTAGTTTGCATTATCGTACGGAGGCAAGTGATATACCATCGGAACCAATATTATTGTCCTTCGTCTGAGCCCTACTTGAAAAATCGATGCACTTCCCCTTTTACAAACAAGGATGCAAAGCGCAGTACCTAGTGGGAGCGCGCGTAGAAAAGTGCAAAGCACGTCGTGCCGGGAGCATTACTACAAAGTCTTGTACATGTACATGACAACACACACACAATCGGCGAGGAAAGTACATAATTATTGCGCTACAACAGTGATACAAGCATAACTTCAGTCTAGCACCTACAAGTACAGTGAGGTGTGTAAAACCACGCGCCACTCGGGGTAAATAACAGTAATAATTATGACATTGTATGCATGCAGAACGCACAGGTCAGTATCTTACCATCCATGCATGATGCTGTAGGTAACTGAGGAAGAAGGATTATGTAGACCCTGGTAGAATGTGGCGTGGCATAAAAGTGGCAGCCTACGTAGGTGAAGTCATGCATTGTCCACACACATGTGCCGAGTGTATCACCCAGAACGCCTGCTAGAAGCTACTAATACGGCCGCATAAGTGGGGTTATAGCATACATCAGAGACATTACCATTGGAAGCAACAGCCTTCTCCGGTTTTCAAGCCCTTGGTTGTGAGTGTGACCGCCCTGGAGGAGGATCCCAGAGGCCACCAACATCAGGGAGCGATCCCCGGAAAACAACAACAACAGGGGCTGGGACCTGCTGAAGCTCCACCTATGCAGCCATGTTATTGCCTTCTAGCTCTCACTAGGTACCGCACTTTGCTTCCTTGTTTTGTACTGCTGGTTTTTTTCATGCCCACTTCATTCCTGATGATGGTGATGAAGACCAAAACGTGGAAGCGATACTTCTAATGCTTTTGTGTGAAGATCAGTGCTCTCTTCATTGTAGGCAGGTTGGATGCAAACTATTCAAATTTCTCATTAATTTTTGGTGTTCAAAAATCGACCTCCGAAGGACATTTGGTGGAAACCAGTTACTTGCAGAACCTTATTGATATAGGTGTGGGATTTTGGAAAAGAGGCCATTAGACGGATCAGCACATTATTCAATACGATATGACTCATTTCATGCGAGCATGCCCCACTGGGGATGTGTCACAAATTGTAACTTTTGTCAAAGCATGTTTGCATATCACCTCTGGAACATAGAACATGACTAATGATTAATATCTAGCATAATTGTTCTGTAGAGGCGTGCTCCTGCCTCGGCACACGCCCAAATCACACAAACAACCTGTAAACGTCTCAATTAGTCACCTGAGGAATAATCGTCTCTTTGTTAGTAAAAAAGCGGTTTTATACAGTAAGTAGAATAACACGTGCAAATGTTGGCCGTGAACAATAAAGGCTAGAAGTAATTGCATAAGGTGTGCAACTGATAGGGGCGCACAAGCTGTGCATTGATAGGCGCGCACAAGCTGTGCAGTGATAGGCGCGCACAAGCTGTGCAGAGATAGGCGCGCACAAGCTGTGCAGTGATAGGCGCGAACAAGCTGTGCAGTGATAGGCGCGCACAACCTGTGCAGTGATCAAGGTGATAGGCGTGCACAAGCTGTGCAGTGCAGTGATAGGCTTGCACAAGCTGTGCAGTGATAGGCGCGCACAAGCTGTACAGTGTAATGATAGGCGCGCAACAGCTGTGCAGTGATAGACGCGCACAAGCTGTGCAGTGCAGTGATAGGCGCGCACAAGCTGTGCAGTGATAGACGCGCACAAGCTGTACAGTGCAATGATAGGCGCGCACAAGCTGTGCAGTGCTAGACGCGCACAAGCTGTGCAGTGATAGGCGGGCACATACATGTAGGTGTGCAGCAATGGACTGACTAATTATTCACTTGTCCTGTCTTTATAAATAACATGTTATTGCATATGTTCTTGGTTTAGTTTTTGGCCTTTTTCGTGCTTTGGAGTTGATAACATTTTCCTCACTATCGAATAAGACCTGCAGGCTGCTGCTGCTCTCCGTTCTAAAAAACAAAACAAAAAAAACAAAAACAAAACAAAAAACAAAAAAATATAGGTGTGCAGTAATAGGAAGGCAGAATAAGGTGTAATGGTTACACCATCCCCCCCCCCCCCCCCTCCTCTCGATTGTGCAAAACACAATAGAATGAAATACTTAAGAACACAAGTGGAACAATGTTTCTTCCGGACTCGTTCTTGAGAAAATTCTCTGGGTCCCAGGTTGTCTCATCAACTTAACCACAACTCGGGTGTGCCTTTGCATTATCGGCGATCCAAAATTTCCTCCACAATGTACCCTGTGTTGCCGTCCAAATCAGTTGTGGGCGGCTGGCGGCGACCAGGAATTGCGTTCACTTCCTATGGTTTCAGCGTGGTCACATTGAACTCAGTGTGGCAGCGTAAGGTTCTCGGCAGGTTTAGACGATATGCATTGTCATTACCTGACTGGGTGAGATGAGACCCATTAGCTGACTGGGTGACTGGGTGACTCCGTGACAGGGTGACTGGGTAAGTGGGTGACTTTGTAGCTGGGTAACTGGGTAACTGGGTGACTGGGTAACTGGGTGATTGGGTTGAGCAAGCATCCTTTGTTCCGGCGGTCATGTAAGCCAGTGGTGGAATGGGTCCAGCGCCAACAGCACTGTATAAACGCATTGCTCATCTGTTGGCTGAGAAGAGGAGTGAGCACTACTCTCATGCTATGGCATTTGTTAGATGCAGGATTTCCTTCAGTCTTCTGAAATCCTGTATGATGTGCATTCGCGGTTGTAGGCGTATAAATTTTAGTTTGAAGTTTGCACCCTCCTGTGGAGCCCACGCGGCTTTGGCAGTGGGGAGGCTCGCTTGCCAACGTAATCGTCGGAGACCATCGTGAACAATGGACTGACTAATTATTCACTTGTTCCGTCTTTCTAAATAACATGTTATTGCACATGTTCTTGGTTTAGTTTTTTGGCCTTTTTCGTGCTTTGGAAAATAAACTGGGTAACTGGGTAACTAGGTGACTGGCTAACTGGGTGACTGGGTAACTGGGTAACGGGGTGACTGGGTAACAGGGTGACTCATAGCGTCGAGTACGTAACTAACAGCGACGCAGGTTAGAGCTGACTGTATGGCCGTTGACAAGGTTTTCAAATGGTCACGAGTTATCTGTTCTCGGACATCACCCCGTTGGTGAACAGCAGCGCTCTTGAGTGCTTGGCCAACTCAGGAATCTGAAGGCTTGGACCGTATACCTTAGCAAGCGCATCTCTTAGTGACGGCCAGTCAGGAAAGGTTTCAGCTTCCAGGGAAGAGATGAGCCAAAGGCGAGCGTTGCCTACAAGGAAACTAGCGGCATAGTTCACTTTTCTATCCGAACTGCCTAATTCCAGGGACTTGAGAGCCAATTCGATAGCGAAAGACCACACCTTGAACCAGTTTGCCTCACCACCGAACACTTGAGGCTCCTTCGTACAAGGCCGACTTCTCGACGGTGGCCGATTATGGTTGATCACGGCTCCGATACCCTTCCAAGGAGTCACAGGTACTGTTGTTAGCTTTGGACCGTTGGCTAATAGCTTATTAACTCGCAGCAGCTGCCGAATAGCGGTGAAAACCAGTAAATTGAGTAACAGGAACGACAATGCAGCAGGCGTCAGAAGGAAGATACATGCATGAAACTTACCAGAAAATTTACCGAATTCTGCCTATTTTTCTGCCGACATTATCCGCCGGTGCCTAGCCGGCGCACGGCACGCAAAAAAGCTTCGATCACACAAATCGAGATTTGTTCACTATTATTTTGCAATTTTCCTGAACTTTGCTGCTAGTTAAATTCGAGTCACTCAGGGAAGGAAGTACTTGCTGTTTGGAGTGACAAGGGTTGCCAGTGACAATTTATTATCAAAAAGGTACTGCGCTGTTTGGCATACTGACCGTCTGGAGCTCTGCCTGGTGTTGTAGCTGGAGGAGGCGCTTTCCGTCGTGGGTAAGGAAATTGGCTATGTTGCAACGTGGTGACGCGACAATTTTCAAATTTATTTATTCTCCGAAAACGTCGAGAGCGTTTTACAAGACATATCTTTTTTTTTTTTAATGTTTCTTTGAATTCGGATAGGTCAACAGTACAGAAGTACAACTACAAAGAGTACCGAATAGAAGGCCCCGAGAACGGGAAACCAAAAAAAAAAAAACAAAAAAAAAACAGCAACATCAAGTTACTGATTATGCACATGGCTTGAAAGCAAATCACAACAATGATTAAGAGTTAAGCTGTCTTTTAGCCAAATAGCCAATTTGACGCGGAAATCTGCGATAGTAGTGCAGGACTTCAGGTCGTCTGGTAAATAATTCCAAACAAGAGCCGATTTACTTGAAAAGGACAGAAAGCCAGACATAGATCTAAAGCGATTGATACTCATGTTATGATTTGTAGAGCCGCGAGTAGTTCGGGTAGACGTACAGATGGGAAAGAGGGACTGCAAGCAAACAGCCGGCTTAATACAGTAACAGTGGAAAATGAACACAAGGAACAAAAATACTGATCGATATTGGAAAGAGGAAACATTGAGGTGGTGAAGAAGTGGCGTGATATTAGCTTGGGGTGATGCGCCACAAGCAACTCGTACAGCGCGCCGGTGGAGTGAGGCTAGCTTGTTTCTATTTTAAGCAGATATATACGAAAAGGTATACAGGGAGAGCATATTCTAGATCAGGCTGAATAACACCGACAACGAAAGTACGGCGGGCAAACAGGTTCATCTGGCGGAAAGATCGACGCAGTACACCGATCTTCCGTGAGGCTTTCCGGACGACATTGTTAATGTGTTGGTCAAAGGACAGCTTATTGTCAACAACGCCTCCCAAGCATCTGGTGCTTTCCACTTCCCCTAGCGTAACATTTGACATGGTGATTTGCAGTTGTTGCCTTTGTTGTTGTTGCTGACTCCCTGTGGCACGTTTGGGATGGATTTGCATGACAACGGTTTTGTCGGTATTTATCTGCATACCAATGGAGCCAAGGTGGTTGTTTAGTATCTCCAGTGCCGATGACAACATGGCTTCGGAACGCGCCTTCGACGGATCACTAGAGTAGACTGTCTTGTCATCTGCGAACATCAGTAATTTTGAACCCACTGTCTCCGCAAGCCGGGGAAGGTCCCTCAGGTAGACATTAAAGAGGGTAGGGCCTAAAATACTTCCCTGAGGAACTCCTCGAGACACTGCAAGACTTAAAGACTGGCTGGCTTGCGTGACGACACGCTGAGATCTCCCGGCAAGGTACGACGCAAACCAACGCAGGGCGCTTGCATGAACACCCATGCCATGGAGCGCAACGAGTAACTGTTGATGCTGGACGCGATCAAACGCCTTGCTGAGATCGACAAAGGCTACACTGGTAGTCTCTCCGCGATCCTGGGCCAGTTTCCAATCATTTACAGCAAGTGTGAGCAGTTGTGTCGTGGAACGAGCTGGTCGGAACTCAAATTGGTGATCGTGGAGGTGATTTTCGATGGTCAAACTGTCTCTTAACTGATTTAGAACCAGGCGTTCCAGACTCTTAGCCAGAATCGACGTGAGTGACACAGGACGATAGTTCGAAGGAGAAGTAGGATCGCCCATACGGGATTTCAATATCGGCGTGTCATTAGCCAACTTGAATTGTGTCGGGAACACAGCAGTGCACAAAGAGGTATTAAATATCAGGGTGAGGGAGAAGGCGATGACTGGTGCAACGGCCTTCAGGATGCTCGGGAGGAGACCATCTGGCCCAGGCGCTTTCGTACCGTCGAGTTTCTGAAGGTGCCGAAGTACCTCATCCTCAGAAATAGGGCGAAACTCGTGCAAGTCACACGATCTTGAGGTACCACTTGGAACAACATAAGCCGGGTTCGGATCTGACACAATACTATGGAAATACCTGTTCAAGGTATCTGCCTGGACGAGAGGCTCAGTTCTTGGGTTTGTGCGCAGGGTGACTGAGTTGATGGTGCTACAAAGACGCCTAGGATCTCGCCGGTAATCGTCACAGATGGAGCACAAGTGGGCATTTCGCAGTTGGCGATAAAGGTTATTGCATTTGCTGCGCAAAACTTTGAACTCCTTCTGTAGAACCGTACTACTGCAGTCAGACGAGCGGTACTTTCTGTAGACGGTTTTACGTCGCCTAATGAGAGCTAGTAATTCCGGTGTCATGAATGGGCACTTCTTCCTTTTTCCAGGGGATTGTCTCCGTGATATTATGTAGGGTGCAACCACATCCAAGGCGTCTTCAAATTTTCCTTGCCACTCTTCTAGCATTACATCGACCGACGGGGACGAGAAGGATCCGAGATCAGAAATTGACAATAAATGAGAGAGATCAGAGGCAGAGGCCTTACTGTAGTCACGGCGGCGGCTTCGATATATTTGTCCTTGTGTTGGAATTGACTTCGGAAAAATAATACTGGTGTGAACAAACTCATGATCGGTGAACTCACAGGAGTGAACGCTTCCGTGCTCAACACAATCCATGTTCGTTAGTACACAGTCGAGAAGTGTTTTAGATGTAGGTGTGATCCTTGTAGGGTGCGTAATCATATTCTTCAGATCAAGGGGAAGTAGCAGGTATGTGTTCAAATTGTCAAAATGATGCGTTTGAGGGGACAAGAAATCAATATTTAAGTCGCCCATCAGAATGAGATCTTCGCCCTGAATGTCATACATGACTTGCTGTAAAGATTGCCAAAAAGCCGCCGGTGCGGACGGTGGCCTGTAGAGACAGCCAATGAGGAATGATTCACCTGCTTCTCGTTTTTTGGAACGCAACCAAACCATTTCCAGGTCGATGTGCTGAATCAACATCCGCTTAAACCCAAGTTGCAACCTGCTGTAAATCACTACACCGCCGCGCTTTTGGCAAGGTGTTCCATTTGTACAGGAGCAGTTGTAATTGCACTTTCTGTCGAGATGGTGCATTGAGAACCCCCGGATGTCGACTTCTGAGTCCGAGATGCTGTTGTCGAGCCATGTTTCTGACACTTCTAAAATGTCTAAGTTATGGACCCAGACAAGCTTGGACAACACGAAAAGATTATTTCGCAAACTACAAATATTAATATGACCAATAGATATAGAAGAATAGGGAAGGGTGTGATGAACTTGCGTGGGGCACAAAGGGTTGGGCAAGAGGATTTAGATTTGATCTGACTTCAGTCATTGTTTCTCGTCTGTTGAGTAGCGACGCTGGTCTACACTGCCTGAAGTGCGATCATCATCGGATTTGAATCTCCAGGGTCGGGCAGAGACGTTTGACGGCCAGAAGTCGGGTTTGCTGACTGTATCCATGTTCTTTGCGTCTATCAGCACATGTGCAAAAGCGGTGCCAAAGTATTTGGATTCTGAAATGTTGCATGATACGACCTCAACGTCCCGATCCCTGCACCAATGTACGATTCCATCTGCTTGGCAGCCAGGATTAATCCCTCCCATATCTTGAGCATGCATTTCACGCCCGTTTCCTTGGTGACACGCTGAACGCAGTTTTGTACCTAGTGTGGTGGAGGCCTAACTACAGTTGCGCTAGGTACAATCCGTCCCTAAGTTGCTTATGAAGTTATGTGGCGCCCTGAGCAGAGCCCTTGACGACCTAGAAGTGGCACTAATGAGGCTGGACGTGAACAATACACATCATGTACAGATAGAGGGATATTCCCGAAACTGGTCGAGAGCGTTGCATTTATGTCGGATTACACCTAGCGCCACTGTAAAAAAAAAAATCACGGTTCGCGTGAAACTCGGCCAAAGGCCCAGTTTTCCGCATCCGCAGGAACGCCACCACCCTCTTGGATCAAGGCGCAGATGCAGCTCCTAAGCGGTGGGAGGTGAGTAGATCAGACCCACCACAAAGTTGCCAAAGACCGAAATCCCATTCACTGCATCCATGTTTCCCTCGTGCCAGGCCACGAGTTCCCAATTAACTGTGGGTCGCAGAACGGCTGGAAAAATTCCTTCCGCCTCCAAGCAGGACTTGAACCTGGTACCCTCTGTTTCTCAATCATGGTCTTAGACCATCCCACTATGCCTGCCTGCCTGTAGATGCCACATACTACACACTCCAGGAACAAAATTTCTCCCTAAATACGATGATAACTGAAGTAGTATTGCCTTTTCCACCCGGCCCCTGTCACATAACAACTCAAACAACTTGGTATAGTTTCTGACTTCTCATGCAAACGGAAAGAGAGCAGGAGGAGAAAGACGAAAACAAGACTTGATGAAAAGCCAACGGAAAAAGACACGAAGAAACAACAAAGAACAAGCAGTAATATAGAGCCTTATAATCTACACGACCAACCAAGGAGCAATACGTACAGAACACATGACCAAGACAACCAGACCACGAACAAATCACACGTGATCCTCAATACCAGTTCAAACTAGCACTGTGCATGTACAGCATTCACTTGACAGTCAATCTAACACAAGACGGAAGCAGATTCTCACGCTCGGACAACGCGTACAGGTGCATGCACCACACACCATAAACGTCACACATCACGCCATACCCAAACATACACTTGGAAGAGATGGCATCAGATACTGGACTCCACGATACAACAACCAAATACAAGCCTTTCGGCACATGCCCCTACAAATAGCGCTACTCGAGCGTAGTGAGCACAGTGTCCACTGATTGACGACCATGTTTGCTGACATAGGTTTGCGGAAGGCATTCGACAAAAGAAATCTCTGACCGGAAACAGGCCATCCTACTGGAAAAGAGCCCATTCACTTCCGCTTGTCTGACAGGACGTCGAAAACTCATGTCAGGAACGAGGGCTGCATGCCTATTTGTCTTCGCACCATGCATTCTCCTTGCGGATCTCCTCCTCTTCATCGGAAGAGAAGTCGTTTACGATGTTGAATTTCTTCCTGATCTCCTCGGAAGTCTTGCCTTTGATCATATTAGCGACAGTCTTGCAAGTGGCATACAAAAGTCCCTACAGTGGACAGAAATAAAGAGAGTGAGGGAGAGAGAGAGAGACAGAGACAGAGAGAGAGAGAGACAGAGAGAGAGAGAGACAGAAAGAGACAGAGAGAGACAGAGAGAGACAGAGAAAGACAGAGAGGGACAGAGAGGGACAGAGAGAGACAGAGAGAGACAGAGAGAGACAGAGAGAGAGACAGAGAGAGACAGAGAGAGGGACGGAGAAAGAGAGATTGAGAAGAAAGAGAGACCGATCGAGAGAGATAATGAGATTGATAGTCGGAGAGATGAAACAGTAGAAGGATAGAGGAAGGCAAAGAGTGAAAGAAAGAGAGACAGAGAGAAAGTGCATACCCTATCACAACCCTGATTTGAAAATGAAACTACAAGTGCATATCCATGGCAACAACACTCAGCCGGTTGCAGACAGAACCCAACAACACAATACATTGTATCAAAGTACTCGCTGGACAAGAATCACGATTCAGCATACTAGTATACGAAACGACATACAGCATCTACCAATTGTCTCACCTTTATGTCCAAGTAATTCGCCGCTTCGAGGAGCTCAAAGAGCATTTTTTGGTCTACTTTCAAAAATTCTTTATCCCAGCTGTCAATGTTATCCGTTCTACTTTCACTTCCATCTAGGGGATCTTCCCCTTCCACTGAATTTTCGTTCTGGTAGTGCGTGCACCATTCTATCACCTTTCGCAAAGTCGCGCCATTTACAGGGGGCAACGGCACAGGCTCGTCATCATCAGCGATATCGCCCGTGTCCTGTAACATGGCCTTGAGTAAATTGGATTGGCAGGCGACCTTGACCTCCACGTCGAATACCTCGCCGTCGTTACTCACTAACTTCAGTATAGCTGCCATCTCCGATTAAAATCTGAAAATCGAACACTTTCTCTTAGACACTAGAACGGATCAAAGCGGTTTGGCAAACAAATAGGTCTGACTTTACACTGAAAGGACAAACGCCAATTTGAAAATCTGAACTGTAAAGGACATGAAACAAGTGAATGTTGTCTGAAACGCTCTGGCCTATATATCAGCAGGGATTGTTTCGAGATGGGGCGCGCGCAAGCTGTGCAGTGATAGGCGCGCACAAGCTGTGCAGAGCTAGAGGCGTGCACAAGCTGTGCGGTGATAGGTGCGCACAAGCTGTGCAGTGATAAGCGTGCACAAGTCGTGCAGTGATAGGCGCGCACAAGCTGTGAAGTGATAGGCGCGCACAAGCTGTGCATGCAGTGATAGGCGCGCACAAGCTGTGCAGTGCAGTGATAGGCGCGCACAAGCTGTGCAGTGGTAGGCGCGCACAAGCTGTGCAGTGATAGGCGCGCACAAACTGTGCAGTGATAGGCGCGCACAAGCTGTGCAGTGATAGGCGCGCACAAGCTGTGTAGTGATAGGCGCGCACAAGCTGTGCAGCGATAGGCGGGCACATAGGGGTGCAGTGATAGGAAGGCAGAAGAAGGTGTAATGGTTACACTATCCCCCTCCTCTTGATTGTGCAAAACACAATAGGATGAAATACTTAAGGGTGCAGCCTACCCTTAAATTTCATATGGCATTCAATTGACCGTAACTTTGGTGTGTCTCTATGGATTTGAGTGAAATGTGGACCACACACTCCTGCCACTATACTGGCCGTCAGGACATGATTTACAAGTTCTTGCGCCTCAGTGACAGGCTTTCCAGGCCGGAAAAACTCAAATTTCCGGCATAGTGCCACGGTGTGCGAACAACCCAGGAGCCAATTATTATTGATATTATTATTATTATCCTGTGTGGATCCACAGGAAGTGTGAGCTACGAAGTCTGAAGAAAATGTTGAACAGTCTCTGCTGGGATGACGACTACACCATAGCTCTGTGGTTAGAGCATCGCTAGCTACAAGCGAGGGTCCCTGGTTTGAGTCCTGGTGGTGACAGTCAAATTTTTCTTCAGACTTTTCCCGTTTGTCTCTTTCCCTCAAACTAGTGAAGATTATTATTAATATCATTATTATTATATCTGGTTCGAGTCCTGGTGGTGACAGTCAAATTTTTTCTTCAGACTTTTCCCGTTTGTCTCTTTCCCTCAAAACCAGTTAATTATTATTTATTTTTTTCTGTAGTTATATTGTTGTTTTGTTCACAGGAGTCTCATAACCCTGAAGATGCCCTCTTGGGCGAAAATTTGGAAAGGAGTTTGAAGTTTGGTTTTGGGAGATTTGGAGAGACTTTATTTTTTTTGTAGCCAAGGACTTTGTGCCGCCGTGGGCGGTGAAAGAAAATTAGAAAATATTAATTATTATTTTATTTTATTTTTATATATTTTATAAAAAAATAAAAAAATAAAAAAAGCCAACCACAGAATTAGATATTGGGAATAGAGTCAGACACAACAACAACCGAAATCAGTACACCAAAAATCTGTCCTACAAAATACAAAGGAACAAGAAAAACAAGAAAGACGAAGTACAAAGAATCCCCAAAAAAGAGGGGAGAACGGGATGAAAGAGGACCGGAGAGCGGCAAACCCCAGGAGGACTTAGCGTCACGTAGTGGCGGGAATGCGGGCCTCCACAGAAACAGCATCCACATCCGCCGCCAGACCAGGTGCACGGAATGCACGGCGACTCCCACGAACCATCAGAACGGAGTCGCGGACAAGGCTGAAAGCCAGGTCCGTCCGCAGCTTTCCCATCACGAGGGGACAAGGCTGCGAGAGCTTGGTGGAGAGCTTCGTTCCGAGCAGCTTCAGGAACCGGGTGGCCTCCTTCGCCAGGGCACCAGCAGAAGACAGGACGATCGGGGTGAACGACGCGTGCTCAACTTCCCGGATCCGGGCACCGTATGCCGACTGCTTCTGACGCTCCTGCCATTGGAACACCTCAGCCAGCGGGCGAGATCGGTACGACTGTGCGTTGGGATAGAACACCCTTACATCAAAAATGCATCAGTCTGTACCGACCAAACCCCCTGGCCTTGATGTCCGGTCT